CAAGAAGCATGCAAATCAGCTGCAACATCGAAGCGATAGTGAACAAGTCACCGTACGGCAACAACCTCAACAACAATCCGAGGCCTCGAAGATACTGATAGATGTTCTGACAGAAGACGACACACTATCAAGGAATGGCAATGCTGTTGAAGGGAGTTCCGAGCAAGCGATCGCGAGCGATGTGCCAGTACCCGTGGATTCAACGACATCGACGTCGATATCAAGCCACGAGCCCTCCACGTCACCGACAACGCTTCGGAGATCGAGCAGAACGAGAAGACCGGTACAACGGTTCCAACCTGTCCATAGTATGTTATCGTATGTTTGTTTCATTAGTTTGTGGTTGTTTAAATGATAGTGATATCTATGCATAATCAATTTCTTAGCTGTTCATATTTGTAATTCATGCTTTTGTCGTAGGCTAGTTTTGTTGTAACTACCCTACTGAGGGAGGTATTGTGTTAGTACTGATCAGTTGTTCCTCACAGTGATCTGCCTCGCGCAGTCGATCACAACCTCAGAGTGCGCGTGAAATGAGCGCTATAAAAGGCGCTCACTCATTGCCTTAGTCAGTTCGACTGTTCACTCATAGCCTCTTTTATTTACTGTTCTGTATTATTTTCTAATAAATATTCTTGTTCCTCTCGTGTGCTGCCTCAGGACGAAGAGTCGACGTGTCCGACGTGGAGGACACAACAATATCTATTAGGTTGTCAAGAAGATGATGTCCTTTTCATTTGCTTGCTTTAACAAAGCAACCAGACTCAACCCAACAAAGGATAATGGGTATTGTTTGATAGAGCAAAGCAAGTCTACAAGATGGCTTTCACGATTTCGCGCCGAGCTCAATCCACGGAAAGTTCGAACTCAAAATCTGAAGATTTCTAAATGCCCAAAAAATCGAAAAAAATCAGATCTTCGTCCAAATAATTTCTACGGACCTCCCACTCGCGTCAATACTTTTGATATCTGATATCCCTATGTGCAGCTGCTGTACTTTTTCCTTGACTAGAAACTGAGAAAACGAAAATTTTCGTTTTTTTCTAAAAGCAATGCAGAGCCGTTCTTGCATATGTGATTCTATACTACAAGCCTATTTAAGTATAACTGTAAAATTTCAGCCTATCCCAAGAGGTAGTTTTCGAGAAATGTCGCTTTTAGCACTGAAACCGAAAAGAAGAAAGCTGATTTCTCGAAAGTATTTGATAATTCTCGAAGATTACTGCTCGGAATGGGCTGAAAATCTACAGTTATACTTACCTAGCTTGTATTATAGAATCACGTATGCAAGAACGGCTCAGAATTGCTTTAAAAATATTACGAAAATTTTCGTTTTCTCAGTTCTAGTCAGAACAAAGTACAGAAACTGTACATATGGATATCAGATATCAAAAGTATTGATGTGTGAGAGTGGGAAGTCCGTAGAAATTATTTGGACGAAGATCTGATTTTTTTCAATTTTTTGGGCATTTGGAAATCTCCAGATTTTGAGTTCGAACTTTCCGTGGATCGAGCTTGGCGCAAAATTATGGACGCCATTGTATCGAACATACCCATTACCCTTTGTTGGGTTGAATCTGGTTGCTTTGTTAAAGCAAGCAAATAAAAAATGACATTGTTCAATTGTTTTAAGCCGTAACAGGTTTTTAAAGGAACACTTTATTTACTGCCCTACGTTTCGGCTGAATGAGGTCTTCAGGGGCCTGAAAGTGAGTCAATCACTCTTTAACCAAACGATCTAGACCATTAGACACTTCCTCCAAACCTACACTTGACTCATATATTGTGACGCAAATAAGTTCTCAAGTTGAACAGCTTACCAAGTGTTCCTGGTGAGGAGCGTAAGAGTGTTAGCTTTCTCTCACGGTCGCTCACAGCAGATGATGACAAAATGAGCGGTCCGAATAAGTACGACACGCTTAAATAGTGTAGACTACTCATAGCTCGCAAAATGGTAGAAACGGCTTCAGATCACTAGTGATAGACAAATGTTCATTCTTGCTGTTCACTTTAGGACGAGCAAGTATGAATGAAGCCTCTAACGCTTTTCGAGCAGCAATATGTTCTTCGACAGCACTAAAATGCAACACTGGATTTCAAAATCAACTCCTCCATGGTCCTCTTTCCTGTGCTTTTACGAGACTCTGTCTTCTCTTAAGGGCCGGGCATACTTCACGCGATTTTAGTCGCGACGCGATTTGGCAATTCGCCAGAAGTCTTCAGATTCAACACTAGGAAACTGTGCATGCATAGTGTGTATAACTTAGGTGGATTGATAAAATGCCCTACCTTATGTACATTTAGAATGTGTTTACAGTGAGTTATGGACAGTTGAAATACTGCCAAATCGCGTCGCGACTGAAATTGCGTGAAGTATGCCCGGCCCTTTACTCGCCAAATGTTCGCTGACACGTACATGAAGTGGTTGACCAGTTTCGCCTATGTAAATGGCATGGCATATCTTACATTCTAGCTGGTAAATCACTCCGCATTTCGAACAGTCTCCTAACCTGTCATCTGTGCAAACAATGCAGTTCTGCATTACGCATTGTCTGTCATACAACCTATTGCGGACCAGTTGCTTTTTGATGTTGTCTTGGGGTATGTTCACTAGAACAACATCATCCGCCAATTGCGCTTGTATTAGACATTGCTTGAAAGCGTTGCCTACTCTATCGGACGCGAACGGTAAGCATAGCGATATACGTGATCGAGTCTGACTGCTAGCGTTCGCGCATGTTCTCTTGCGAGATCTGGACTGCAGTTGGTAACCGTTCTTAGCAACTATCTCGTATGCCAGCTTCGTGGATTCCAGTCTCTCAACTTCACCGCTGCAAACATCGCGCGCTGTTTTAAACATATTGCGAATAATCGTTCGTTTTACAGCAGATGGATGCGCAGATGTGGTATGCAGAATTATATTCTTAGCACTCTCCTTCCGATACCATTTGACGTGTGCTGCTATGTTTTCCAACATCAGTTGTGTATTTAGATATGGTAGCCAGCCATCGTGTGGTCTTTTTCTTGTCAAGCTGATATACCGCGATTGTTCATTAGAATTCTGAAGCACTCATCCATTTTGGATTGAGTTGCAGTAGCAATGTAACAATCATCGATGTAACGGCAGTACATCAGGGGACATCGTGATAATACCGGCTCCTCTATTTTGCTCATAAAGCAAATAGCGAGCGATAGCAATTATTTTCTTGACGACTCAATGAAAATCACAACCCACATCCTTCACCAGGCACTTTTTTTTAAAGACTCCAGGCAAACTACATATAATCAGAAAGCGGAGAACAAGGTAGTTCCGATATTAACCATCTCGGTTTATAAGATCTTCATCTACAGAAGTTATGGATTTTTATTTATCTAAAAGAGTTTGTAAATGTTTGGAAATCACTGCCCACGAGCTTCGCCGGCACTTTTTAGAAATAACTCCAGACGAACTCCCAGACAAACTGTATAATTCCTGAAAGCGGAAGAAAAGATGGTTCTGAAAACAATTTTCTTGCTGACGTTGCTGTTCATCTACAGCAGTTATGATTTTTTTCAAAAATTTGTGAATGCTCAAAAATTGTCTACCTCATTGAAACATGTTCTTGCATACACATCTTCTACTCTATGGTATTTTCGAGAACAGACAGTTTTTGTGGGATTTCCAGTCCTACAAATCTTCACGAAAAAGACAGCAAATGATGGTAGAGAATTGAAAATGATAAAACGTTGATTAGGGAGAATGATGAGAGAACTTCATCATTCCCCTCCCCTCCCCTCCCCCCCCCCCCCTCGGTCGACATTTTACGATCAGGGCCCGGCACGCGTTGATTTGGAACTTTTCTGGAAACGATGTCCCCCATGATCGCGAAAATTTACGAAGTCCCTCTCAATGTAAAAATTAGTAGGGAAACGCTCATTCAATCAAAATTACATTTTGAATTACCTAGTACAACAAAAAAGTCAAAAAGAAAACATTTTGAGTCGAAAAAAGTACCTTTTAGTGCTCGGAATGTCGAAAACCTCCTAGGCCAACCAAATCTGTGGCCTCAACAATCCGGCGATGCATTTTTCGCCACATAATTCAAAGGACATCGCATGTGATCGGAGCGCGATATCTATCAACGCCTAGCTTTAAACTACTTTGGCTCAAAGAAAGAGGAGAGGCAATGGTTTGATCCGCACTTTTCGCTATATGATAGGTTTTTGACCGTTTTAGTCGTCCAAATCAAAAAAGGTCCAAAACTTATGTGAACTCTCCGATATTTATGCTCCAAACCAACCCATTTGGTTCGGAGCATAAATATCGGAGAGTTCACATAAGTTTTGGACCTTTGGACCATAGTCTAAAAACCAACAAATTCGGGAACGGATATTTGGACACATAAGTTTCTGGAACTTTTTACATAACATAGTTTGGAGTTAAATTGTATACACATAGCCCAAATTCTGTGCCATATGATTGCTTGTGCGCTGTAAACAAGCCATTTGTTTGTTTGAGTCTTACGTTTGAAATTTGCGCGCTTGCGAAAGAACACGTTCAACTCGTGAAACTTAACATAATCGTTGGTTTTTTTGGCGCTTCCTCCAGGAGCTTATGAAAACGATATCCCCGTTGTCTCTAACTACAGAAACGAAGTCCAGTTTGACCCCAAACCATCCGTGCCGGGCCCTGTTTACAATTTCTCGATCAAGTGAAACACCCTTCACCCTAGAGGGGCTGCGACCACTGTGACCCCCTTCACCCTAGAGGAGTCATCCTCACCTTATCGCACTTATGTTTGCGAGACCGCAAAAAATCTGCAGGAAGAAACACAATATTTCTCAATCCTACGATTGTGCCAGTTGTGACTGCGACGTTAAAAGACATGCTCGATTAAATTTTGAATCTATATTTCTCCCGACCTGAATAACTTTATTTGATTGTATTTCAAAGTTTCCAAAATTATATAAACTCACCATTTTTTACTGCACACAGATCTTGACTATGATAAAGATTTCAGGTGCTGTGATAGCGATATCTCATGTGGCAAATTTGCGTCAGTTTAGTTCTTTTATATGTCAGAACCTATTTCCAGAAGTTTATAAGATGCAGCCAGAACAAATGGTATATGGTTTTCATTATCAAAGGGCAACAAAAAAGGGAATAAATTTAGTTATTTGAAATCTCATGCATTCAATATTGTGGTCCAGAAAAAAGCACAGATTCAGAAGGGCAAGCTGTCAAAGCACATGTTGGGCTTAAAAATGTCAAAGTAACAAGAACGTCAAATTTTTTTCAGGTCTTCCCTCGACCAGTAAGATTATGCTCTGGAGAAGACAAACCACCAATTCCATCATCTAGCATGGACTCGGAACGAATTGCTGGATCAGGAAACGATATATGGCATGAATTCGACAGTACTGACAAAAACAGTCTGCATGAAAAAAACCTACTCGATACGGATATCAGAAAATAGACGAACGATTTTTAAAAAATGCCTCGATGGCGAAGTGAGAGATAATACAAAAAATAGCATAAAGATGAAAGAATAAACGCGAAACAATTGTTGAGTAGAGGTCGTTGAACATAGTTGAAATGTTCAGTCTATAAGACCCTGTTTTTGCCAAAAACAGTACCAAATATCACTCGTTGTTAATCGTGATTTCTATACATTTGCAACAGGAAATTATTGCAAGCTGTTTACTAGACAACTTTCGGTAAGAACATAACTACCTTCCAAAGCACATCAAATTTTTAGAGCGATCACCAGAATAGCTCTAAATTGGATATCCAAAACTAATACGCGCAAGCATCAAAATGTGAGGCGCAAAAATAGTTCTGAAGCTTTTTGTCGCCTATGAGCACTTTTCGGCGGAGTGTGTGGGGATCCCTACAGCAGCAATATAGTCAGTATAGCCATTCTAATGTCTTCTTCTTCTTCTTCTTCTTCTTTAGCATTGGGAGAAATATGGATTATCCTTCAGCTCACTGTGCTAAAATTCTGTGTTTGAATAGCAGAAAATTGTAAGTACGTGTGTGCTACGTAGCTTTTTTATGAAATTCTTTGTACCAGAGCCTAACACGAGGGTGAATAGACTTCGGCAACGAATTCGCTTTGCTTCTGTCGTTTTTTTACGTTGTCCCCTTGATTTCGCCAATTGCTTAGGTTGTTCGATTGGAACGCGCTTTCCTTCTCAAAAGGACCGGCGTCGTTGCTAATCCAGATCCTAACAACTCAGACAATCAAAGGCTATCAGCTGTTAGCCACAGAGCCGGCTGGCTGCCAGCTCCGACATAGTTCTCAGCGGGAAGCGACAGTGAGGCGATGAGGCTACCGCGCCTTTGGTGGGTTTTGGCGGTGGCTTTGTAGCTGCCGGCTGAGAGCCGTGATTGTCTAAGAAGGAGGAGAAGAGGAGTTTTGGAACCAAATTGTTACTTTATACTAAACTTTGGGTGTAGGACAGATTTATGTAAAAATTTGGAAACTCATGTGAAATGGAAGTTTTGCTTACCTCAGGTGGGCATTAGGTGGACAATTGAACACCTAACTTGGGAATAAGTTAAGCACAGTGTTTATTCACGTAAGTTCTTCGTAATTTTTCAATATGTGCACTATGCATCTCCTAGTTCATTTCCGTTTCTTTGAATTCTTGCTCATATCGTTATGTGCGTTGTAACGAGACCTATAAGTACAACTTAACGGAAGGAAATTTCGGTTTTCGAGGATGACGCGTGAGCAAATTGTGTTTCTGCATGTCGTCGTGTAGCAACTCGTCGACAAAGTGTATATATATGTAGACGTATGTTTACGCTATCTCCACTGCTTTTCATTCAAAACGATTTCCAGCTTGACATTTGCCCACCTCGTGCAGAGAACTAGCATGAATTGATCAAGGTGAAACTTCGCATACATACGTTTCCGGTACCGCCGGTTGTCACAGGCCACTTTCGGTGGCGATAAATTGAGTCCTTCAAAAGTACCGTCCACCCAAAGTCTCGATTTCAATGTTTTCGTCGCCTTCAGGCCTTCTGAAAGCCCTGATTCCGAATATGGAGTCAAGAATCCGCGAAACCCCCAAAAATCCCTGTTTCGAGAACCCTCTGCAACAAACGCAGGCAAGATAAAGCATGCCAGTGGGCGGGCGACCATGTCGCCCCGCCTACTTTGCTACTTCCGGAGCGGATTTCTCGCTCCAGAAGCAGTCTTTTGCGGCGAAGCTTGGGGGTTTGCCTAGTGTGGGGGCCCACACTAGTATGCCATCATAATCTCGCCAACCTCCATTTTGGGTGGACGGTGTCTTTAATCTAATTATCGATTTTCTGCCTTGCATGAAAAAGCATATCGCATCAACAATTATAGCTTACTTATTCGACTTTCAACAAACAGCAAGGCATGTTTCAATCCATTTTTTGTGCGCAAAGCAATGGAAGTAGTCTTGATGTACGCCTTTACTGTTGGTTTGAAAGTATTACAGAAAATCATTATTGTGCCACCTCAAGTTACAAGCGGATGACTTTTCATAGGATCATGCACGCCACTTCCACTATCACAACAATTGCTTTTCTAAGGTTATCATAAATATTGAAGCGTGCCCTTCTTCTCAAAACACAGAACAAAACTGATCGATTGATTTCTGAAACTTTTTTCTTCTTGATTATCAGAGGAAAAAATTTGGTAGGAAATAAGAAATTTTGCGAAATTGTAGCAACAATCACAAAATAGAGGTAGGAAGCAAAATACTAAAATGCCATGTTGAGTATTGACGAAGATGTCTAGAACACCAGAAAATTGTCGCCGGCTCTCAAAAAGCATCTGCAAACAACGCATGTGAAGTAAAGAAGCCAGTGTCAGCTGATCATCATGACTTATTACAGCTCTTAATCCAAAGGGCCGGGCATACTTTACGCGATTTCAGTCGCGACGCGACTTGGCAATTCGCCGGAAGTCTTCAGATCCAACACTAGCAAAACTGCACATGCATAGTGTGTATAACGTGGATCAATAAAATGCCCTATCTTCTGTACATTCAAAATGCGCTTACAATGAATTATGGACAGTTGGAGTATTGCCAAATCGCGTCGCGACTGAAATCGCGTGAACTATGCCTCCCTCCTCCCTTTAAAGCTGCGTGGAGTTTGTCGTTACGAAAATACAGTGAGAAATGATTTACAATACTTTAAGCAAGTGCTTTCTGATAGTAAGAGTAGTTTATTTGCAACTAGGGACCACTCGCTTTGAGCAATTTTGGGATGATGTGAGAAACAGCTATTAGAGCCTAACTTTACTTTAACACTTTCCGTGTAGACCAATGCGAGCCTCTGCGAAGCAAACCTCAAACCTCAACCTCATCCTCGGCTCGGGTTCGGTTCCCGGCCGATGCACCACTTGTAGAAAATATAACTCGACAAATTTATGCCACGCGGGTTCTAATTGGACTGTGGGTACTACCTCAAAGGTAACCAAAACTTTATTAATGGATAAAATAAGGCGTTAGTCCCGCACAGAAATGAGAGTGAGGTCATCGAAACTTGTCTCGCGAGTGCTTCTCAGAGAAACTTGTGGACCCAAAACTACCCCCAACTTGTGAAGGAACTCGTAAAAGATGGCTTGACCTTACTCATCCATCAGTACTTATACCCTTTAGATCATTGCTGATCGTATATGCCATCATTGTCAACTGATATGTTAATAAGCTCGGCCAAGTAAGGCTGTGTAGTCAAGAATTCTGAAGGATGATATATGGGAATTTCGCTGGGTACTTTTCCGTTATCCGGACCCATTTTTACAAAAGGCTCTTATAGAACGTGTTTTTTAGTCTAAAAACAATTTTTTATAACTTTTTAGAGGACTGTTTCCCCGCCACGTGTCAGCGAAAAATTGACACGTTTCAGTCCATTTCGACATGTTTTTTCGAGATCATTTCCGGTGAGGTAAAAGAGCATTTGTGATCACCTAAAAGCTGTGCAACTCTTTTCTATAAGAGCAAAACAATCTAGAACCATTATTAGAACATCTTGGTTACTTCTAGCAATGATTCAAGATTGTCTTTCTCTTCAAACTTTCAGCCATGCGAGTTTAGCCAAGAAAGACTATAAATGATGGCTTAAAGTACCTCACTGCTGCTTGTTCCGCCGCTTAGATGATGGAACCTTAGCGCACTTCTCTATTCTGGGCAAGTCTAAGCTGTACATCAGTGACAGTATGACCTCATTATTATAAAAATGTTCATTATTGATATTGTTCAATTGAAAATGGGGTCATTATTGACTGAAAAACAAGTTGAACTTACGTCGCTGGATAGGGTAACACAAACTCCTGGTAAAACTTGTTAAACATGTGATGGCATGTCAATTTTTTTTGACACGTGGCAAAAGGTTGACACTTCTTACTATGAAGTTAAGACCAGATATAGTACAAGGAATGAAGCATTATCCTTCTTTGAAAAAATGGGTCCGGATAACGGAAAAGTACCTTTCGCTGTATCATTTAAGCAGCTTCTTCCCATTCTTCCGTCGCGTCTCAGGAGGCCTTCCTCTCTTGTTTTATGTTCAGCTGAGGTACTGATTTCATACCGCTGGAGTGCCGTTGGTGGACACGCATAATGGTCTTTTCCGCTACCGTGTTTTCTTCACCGTGGAGCTCTCCGCAGGGGTGTGCAGCGTACTTGTTAAGCAATGGAGAAAATCGAAGATTGCTTCCAAGTCTGTTTCTTCTTTTCAATTTGATCTTCAAAAATCGCAAAACTGTAGCTGTGACTCTCTTGATCACGGTATATGGACGGCCCCTCAACCATTCAAGGATATCTTCATTTTGCTTCCCTTGTATGACGCTGGTCAGCTTGATTAATGAGTACTGAATCTGTTGGTTGTTTAATACCGTCATTTTGTTCGTTGTTTATCCGAAATAGCTTGTAGTCTGCGACCCAGTCTTCTGGCAAGCCTTTCAGGAATGGTGGTCCACAAGCGGTCCACAAGTAATGTTCCTTCAGTTGCTCTCTATTCAATCCTCTTGTCCAACAATCTGCCGGATTTTGATCAGTAGGAACATAGCCGTAATGGATCTATACCTTTACTTGTTAAGTGGTGGTTTATATCGATTATCTCTTTAAGTCGATTGATCACCATTATTCCTGCCTCTCTATGTTGTTTTCTCTTAGTCCCCTTGTAAACGATCTCTAAGTCTGTGAAGAGATAAACGTTACGGATCGTTACGATTGAGCGTAGCTGAATTACGGCCGAATCGATTACTCTCATTGCCATTATAGCGTTCAATTCCGACTTTGGTATTGTCATCTGGTACTTGAGTGGTGGAAGTTTCCCTTTGGTAGCAGAAGATGAGTAGAATTTTTCAATTTCAAATATATGCATGCACATGGCTATAGCTTCCGTGCTGGCATCTGCGAATGCTGCTATGTTCACTTCTGCATGTTTTTTGGCCACAAATCCGGGTATTTCTTTGCTGAAATATTGCATCTCCTGGCATATCCGTTGCCATTTCTCGAAGCGAATATCTGTTACAGCAGTGTGCCAGTCCAATTTGTCCTTCCACATTGATCGAAGA